TAGAACTCTCAACGCTCCTTGATCGGCCATTCCACCGCCTACAACTCGTCAACATCGGCCATCTCTCCTCGTTGAAGCTCCTCCATCATATTCTGTACCCATCTCGTCATGGTCTCCTGAAAGACCTCCTCTCTCTTAATTAGCGGATTCCCAGGATTCGTCGACCTCCCCAAATACGCGCTCTCATCCAGCTCCGGCCGCCCGTGCTTCAACAGGTAAACAGCCAGATGGTACAGGGTCACGCTATTGGTGATCAAAAGCCCCCCAGCACGAATGACGTGATGCTGCTGGCGCTGCGCACCCTCCCGCGAAACCCCATCCCACCAAGCCTTCCACGTATGCAACGCGCGCTCCATCGCCGACAGATCCACCGGGAGGATGGAGGTCTGCGCCTCGAGCAGCAGCGAATGTATCGCCAGAATCAAGAGATTCAGATCCCACGCCGTCAGCTTCGACGACGCCCCCGCTGCCTCCAGACCACCCCCCCGCACCGCCGCCGCCGCTGCGCCCATCAACCCCCTGACCGCGGACTGGAAGCAACTCGAGGGATCCTGCGCGGGTAACGCGGCCCAGCCTGACGCCGACCACGCGCCCCAGCTCGCCTCGTCGCACGGGAACGACGCCCGCGTCTCCTGCGGCGAGAGCAGCGGCTTGCTCCCGCCTAGTAGCGCCTGGTAGCAGTCCACGGCGTAGACGCCCCATAGCACGCGCTTGCGGGACTCCTTGGCCACCCACGCCTCCCATGCGCGGGCGTTCCGCGCGGCCACCGTGCACTCCCCGTGCACTTTCAGCAGGCCCTGTTGGCGGACGGCGGTCACGAGGAGCGGGTGCAGGAGCCGGGCGGCGGCGCGTTCCGCGCTGCCGCCTTTGGCTGTGCTGGCGAATTGGCTGAGGAGGAGGGCTTGGAGGTCGGCGAGGCTAGGTTGCGTGGGGTGGTCCGGTGAGCGGAGGCAGGTTTTGGCGAAGTGGGTGGGGAGAGAGCTGTATAGGCGTTTGGCGTCGTTTAGGGATGTTGGGTCGGTGGGGTTGAAGGCTGCGCCGATGGAGGTGATGGTTCGGATGAGGATGGGGGGCGCGGAGGCCAGGTGGAAGGTGGGCAGATGGAGCAGAGGGAAGAGGGGGTGGAAGTGCGCGAAGAAGAGTCGGGCGTAGGTTTCGAGGCGATGCACGGGGATGGTGATGCGGTCGGCGGGTTCGGTCTCGAGGGTGAAGTCGGCGGGCAGGCGGAAGTTGTCGGGCGAGATGATGGGCCCTGTGTCGTGCAAGGGTGTGCCGGGGCGGGGGGGTTGATGGAGGAATTGATCTGTATGCGCTGTTGTGGTTGTTGCTCGTGGTGGTTCACCGAAAGCAGTGGGATTGTCCGGGAATGGCGTTTCGGGCGGCGTCCAGTCCCACGTTGTCATGTCGCCGAATGTATCGAAGCTTTCGATGTCGGCTAACTGGTTGAGGAAGTCGAGGTCCCCGGTTGACAGCAGACCTGGGGAAAGCCAGTCGACAGGCGGATCGAGGGCTGGGCTCACGTCGAGGCTGGTGTCCCATCGACTGTCGCTGCCTGTCGGGGGTGGGGATGGAATCGAGCTGGTCTGCCTGGGCGTGGCCCGGCGGGCGCGCTTCTTGCGCTCTGCCCGCTCGCAATGCCAGCCCTTGTGACGGCATCGTGAACAGGGTGATCCAGATTGATCGAGGTTGCAGCGTAGTTTGGAATCGGCGCATTTGACGCAGCTTTTGTTCATCCTTGCCGCGCTGATTGTGGTGGTCGGGAAATGCGAGCAGCGGGAATAGTGATCTCGGACATTTTCGAACGATGGGGGTTCGTGGGGGTGGGAAACGTCCCTGAGACATATTAGTAGGGCAGCAAGATAAGGATAAGTTGCCGCTGCTGCAGCCCTGTGGCGTTCTCGAAATGCGAATGGCATTGGCTGTGAGGGAGCAGCAAGATCTCTTATCGTGCTCGGGTTTTCGGGTTTAGTGCAGACTGTGTGTCTGTGAATTTCCGAAGTCCCGAAATCCCGATGCCTGTTGGTTTGGGGCCCTCCACGCTGACACTCACTGAGTAAGTTATAACGAGACCAGGCATGCTCCACCAGAATCATGTTTCTATCATCGAAACAAACAATCCTCACTTGGGTCTCATTCTATAAGAAAGTGATCGTCTCCGCATCAGCAAAATGTCGTCGTTCGAATCCACCCAAACCACCAAAAGCCCTGCGGCGACACCATCACGCCTCTGGTTCGATCGCTTCTGCTTGTTACGCCGTCGTGAAGACCCACAGTCATACTCGCCATGGCAGAAACATCTCATCGTGGCTGTGATCACTCTATCTGCCTTTACCGCGCCGTTTGCGTCCTGCATTCTCTTCCCCTCGTTCACCACTCTCGTGGAACACTTCCACACGACAGAAACGCAGGTAGCGTTGACAACGACGGTATTCCTCTTAGGGCTGGCCGTGGCGCCCCTGTGGTGGAGCACGCTCAGCCAGCAATACGGCCGCCGACCGATCCTAGTAGCCAGCTTCATCCTCTCCACCATCGCGGTGATTGTCTGCGCCGCGTCCGACTCCCTCGCCCTGATGATTGTGTTCCGCTTGGTGGAGGCGCTGGGCTGTTCCTCCGCGCAGAGCGTGGGTGCGGGCGTGGTCGGCGATGTCTTCCCGCCGACAGAGCGCGGATCCGCCCTGGGGTGGTTCTACCTGGGCACGCTGATCGGACCCCTGCTAGCCCCCATTCTCGGCGGTGCGCTCCAGGTCTGGCTGGGCTGGCGCTCGATCCTCTACTTCATGGCCATCTTCACCTTCAGCGCCGCCGTCATCACCACGCTCTGCCTTCCGGAGACGCTCGTCAAACCTACTTCAAATATCGACACGGAGAATCCAGCCCCGACGCCGCGGTGGTACCAAGCCCTCAAACGGGACATCATGGCCCCGCTCTCCAAGCTAAAATTCCTGCTCGTCCCCTCCATCGCCCTGACCATCGCCTACATCAGCATCTGCTTCGCCAGCCTGTACTGCTTCAACTCCACCCTGCCGTACGCCTACGCCGCCCCGCCCTACGACTTCTCCCCGATCGAGATCGGCCTCTGCTACCTCAGCAACTGCCTGGGGTACGCAATCGGCAGCCTCGTCGGCGGCAAGCTGAGCGACGCCCAGCTGCGTCGGCACCAGGCCGCGCACGGGGGCAAGATCCATCCGACCGCGCGCCTGCGCACGGTGTGGTACGGGGTGGGCTTCGTGCCCGCCGGATTGGTCATCTACGGGTGGCTGGTCGAGCGCCAGGTGTTTTGGGTTGCGCCGCTCGTCGGCGCGTTTCTGTTCGGGCTGGGGCTGATGCTCGTCACCGCCACGGTCATGCCGTTCCTGGTGGATGTGCGGCCGGGCGCCGGCGCGGCTGTCGTTGCGGATCTGAATCTGGCGCGGAATCTGCTGGCGGCGGTTGGCACGGTGGTCTCGCCGATTGCGGCCTTGAGTATTGGGTTTGGGTGGTGGATGACCATTCTCGCGGTGCTTTGCGCTTTGGCGGTGGGGTTGTTGGTGATTGTCGTCTGGAGGGAGTCGATGGAGCGGAAGGTGGAGGCGGATCATGAGGTTGTTTGATTTGTGCTGTTTCGTGTCAATTGTCATTTGCTCTAAATACTACATGGAACGTGTTTTGAAGTGAATAAGTTTGAACAGTGACCATGCGCTCGATTAGCTATCATGTAAATTTGCATGTTTTGTTAGATACATCCATGGAATTGTCGACCTCAACGATGATGTCTTCCACCATGTTGTCCTCCACGACGTCGACGAGCCTCTTCTTCATCGGCCGTGGGTCTTCGCGTCCCCGAACTTGTAGACGAGGAACCGCGCCCAGAGTCGCGACCGCCTCTCTGACCCCTAGGACGATGACTGGAACGGGCCCCGGTAGAGGGTGTCTGTCGTGAACCGACAGGGATTCTGCTCCTCCCCGATGGAGTTGCCGGTGGCACCGCGGGGCCAGGAGACCGTAGGGGAGGGGGCACACGGGGGGGCGGGGCGAGCTTGGCCATGACCCCGTTGATGAACTGCCGGGGCAAGGGCTGCAGGAGCGAGCCAGTCGTTACCTTTCGTCCGGTTTCGACGTAGCGCTGGGAGAAGAGCTGCCAGAGTCGCTCGGAATAGTGATCGTTTGTGAACGGACGGGGGCAATAAGGCTCGTTATCGACGAACGCCTGCACAGCGCGATTGACACCCTCGGTGTCCATCGAGATGGCCCGACAGGCATCAAAGTCTAGCATCCAGAGGCTCACTATGCGCTTTTTGAAATTCGGGACGCGATTTGTCGCGCGTTCGAGTGTACTGCTTCCCGTGCGCAGACGCATGACGTCGCGGAGGGGCACCGGGCGGCGGACTGCGTTGAGGTCGAAGGGTGTGCTTCCTAGGACAAATTCTACGTCCATCGCGTCGATGCGCGCGTGCCAGTGCAGGATGGCGAGCGCGTCTGCCATACTCGAGGCGTATGCGTCTGCGTCCAGTTCGAGCTCCTGGATCTGGTCGACGTGAAGCTTGTAGTTGCGCAGCGAAAAGAAGCGGCTTCCGCCCGGGAGCGAGGACCCGTAGCGCTTACGCCCGAGCATCAAGCGGATCAGACAGTCCTTGTTCGCACTGGAGCTTTTTGCTGCATTGATGTGGTTGGGGTTGCAGAAGAGGTCGATGAGTGCGTGCCTGATCGGTTGGGGCAGCGGGAAAATCCTTTCCATACACAGGATCTCGCGAGGACGACGAGGGAAGGTCGGGTCATCGGGGAAAAGGTGAAGGTTCTCAGGCCAGAAGTCGGCTTCTTTGTTCGCGTACCAGGCCACGCGGGGAATCTCCAGCCCACAGGTATCATAACCTAGCTGGTCAAAGCTGTCCTGGATTCGGAGATGCATCAAGTAGTTGTTCCAGAGCTTGTCGATGCGATCGATGAGGAGGACCTTGAAAGCCCACAGTGTGCCCCCCTGCTCAAAAACCTTTCCGATCGAGCCGGTTTTGATTTCGCGAAAGGGGGCATTGCAGCCAACTGCTGCCTGTTGGCGTTCAGCGAAGGATGATGAAGTCGACACTGCGGATCGAGTGGAAAGAAGTCTTTTGAGTCGAGCTTGTGGGGACTCGAGCTCGTCCTGCTCCAGGCGTTCCTCAAGCCGGAGGTTTTGCTGCATCGCATCTTGCAGTGAGCTCGTCCAGGAGGTATCTGTACCTTGGTTTTCGCGTCGACTCGCCATTTTAAGCTAGGAGTAAGAGGACGTTGATTGCGTGGATATGGACTTTCATCACAGATACTGAGTTGGGGGAAGATATAGCGAAAGAACGAGTTCTGTATGGTGGAATGACGTGAAGAGAGGAAATACAGAATGAATCTGAGAAAATTGAGATCATGGTGGAGGGGAGGGAGGCCTTGGGTTGGGGAGTAACACAGCCAGACACCACTATTCACTCCGAGCCGTGGAATTCACTTCCTCGACTCCACAAGCTTCACAAACTGACGACCCAGGTCAAAGATAGTATTAACCTCATCTTTGTGGTAGATACGAGCAATCTGCTCAGCTGCACCTAGGTACTGACGACGAAACGCCGGCCAGTGTGCCGTGTGCGGCTGTGGACAGAATGGGTCGTTCTTGAAGAAAGCATCAACAGCTTGCCGAACACCCTTCTGATCCATCGAGATGGAGTGACAAAGGTCAAAGTCCAGGATCCACATAGTATGTGTCCCCAATATATTTGTGATGGTGTTGCTGCCGCTTGTGGTGTCCATTTCTTCGTTGTGCTCCGTGCCAGTAACAGTTCGCGACATCGGAGCCAAAACAAATTCGACGTCGTTCGCATCCATCTTCCCAATCAAGTGAAGCGTGGCCAGTGCTTGGCCCATCATGGCGGCATAACAGTCAACATCCTCGGCGCGGATCCCCAGTTCAGCCATCTGATCGACATGAAGGGGGAAGTTTCGGAGGGAAAAGCCTCGAAATCGAGATCGGACGTTCATGGCCGTGCCGTAGGTGCGCTGGCGGCCGATATACGGTCGGATGAGGCAGGCGTCGTTGCTGGCGCTGTGCAGAATCTGCTGACGAATTTTAGGAGGACAATACGTGTCCACGAGAAGACGTCTGATGTGCTCGGAAAAAGGAGGGATTCTCTCGGACAGGATCGCATTACAGGCTGCATATCCGTCTGGGAACCATCGGAGATTTTCGTTCCACCAAGACTGGTTTCCCGGCGTAATATATCTGTGGCACTGAGGAATACGCGCGTGTGGCTCTGTTGGTGAGTTTTTCATCAAGTGCTTAGCACAGGATAGGCTGAGAAATGCCTCGTATGCTCGTTTGTGCATCGCGAAATCGTTGGCGAGTGATCGAGATGGTCCTCCATCTTCGCGCTTGATGGCAGGCCCTTCCAGGCTTCTTGCCCACACTGTGCCGCAGAAACCTGCGCCAATCCTTTGATAAGACTCGTTGGAATCGGTGGACGTAGTCATGGTGTCAACAAAGTTGAGGTTATTGTTAAAAGAACAAGATCGTGGTTTCGAGACTAGAGAGATGAGATGATAATTAGAAGAACAAGATCTCAATTTCGAGACTGAAACTTCTAATTTGTCTCAGTAAGTGAGGTTTGAGTCACGGGGTGACCACTCTCCGCGTCATACTTTATCATGTCTTCGTTATGTGACTTGGAAGTGATCGGAACGCAGATCCGGGGGGTGACCGGACCAAACTTGCCTTTCAGAATTCCCAGTTCATCAGTAGCTTCGACCACTGTTTCAGCTATTTTGGCTGAAGGCCAGGCCCGAAACCACATACAGTTTGTACATGATTCAGCTGGAACTTAGTATCTCAGGTTGAGCATTGACTGTAGCCTAGAAACCTCGATTAAGCCACAAACCTGGATTCCAGGAAAAGACCAACTGCCTGCTGCATTACGTAGAACAGGCCTGTCTCGAGGGACGAATCGCAAGATCTACTAATCTAACTCAGATTTGCGCAGCCATGGTCTCGGAGTAAGTCGGCAATGTAATCGTCTCCGTTGTTCTCTGCCAACGCCAGCGGTGTCCGCCCTTCAAAATCCATGATGTTTTTGTCCACATTCTTCGCATCCAGCAGGAACTTGACGATCTCGAGGTTCCCACGCTCAACCGCTTCAATCAAAGGGGTCAGTCCCCTCAGATTCTGGCAGTTCACATTGACCCTCTCCATGGCCAGGAGGAGATGCAGGATGCTCATGTACCCAGCACAAACGGCTATGGAGATGGGGGTTACCTTCCAAGGGCCTGTGAAGTCAGGATTGGCGCCGGCAGCAAGCCGCAGCTCCACCGCACCCACATTACCCGCCTCGGTGGCCATCAGGAGAGGGGTGTATCCGCTCGCCCGGTGGTCTCCGTATCGACAACCCCAGTTGCAAGTAGCGCTTGGATGACAGGAACGTGACCACGATGGGTCGCATCCCACAACGGCGTCACGCCTCCGCGATTCTTGTGGTCAGGGCTGGCCTCACCAGTGGCAAGCAGCATGCGAGCCACAGCGTCCCGGCCACTCTGCGCTGCTCGACTGAGGGCAGAATCCCCATCATCCTTGTGGGTCGCATCGACCTTGACGGCCTCGCAGGCCAGCAGCCGTGCAACAACCCCGCCGTATCCCCGGCGCGCGGCAATCATCAGCGGCGTATCGTTGTTTTTGTAGTCGGTCGCATTCACGTCGACCCCAGGGTATGCCAGTAGACAGTCAACGACCGGCTCCAGCTCGTTGTACGCCGCGACTCCCGGCGGGGTCGACCCGGACGCGTTCCGCAGGTTGGGATCCGTCCGATCATCCGCTAAGAGCAGTCTCATCGTGGCCACGTTTCCATCGCGTGCCGCGCACCACAGGGGCGGTTCTGCATGATGTCGATTCGGGTCGAGCTGCGGATGCGCGAGAAGCAATGGTACCGCATCAATGCATCCGTGATGGGTTGCCCACCGCAGAATGGTCTCGCTCCGTTCATTCCCATCGCTCCACACGTTGGGATTTATTCTGTCAGCCGCCAGCAGCAGTTGCAGGGTGGGGAGTTGATTTCTCCGCAGCGCCCGCCAGAGCGGGGTAATCCCGTCGGATTCGCTGGCGTTTGGATCGATGCCCGGGTGGGCGAGGAGGATCCGCACGATCGTCTCGTGGTCTACTGCTCGTGCCAGGGCCGTCTGGCCGCAGTCATTCCGTCGGTTGATTGGGATGCCGTCGACGGTAAGAAGGAGCCACACAATAGATTCATAGCCGTGGCTGGCGGCTTTTGGTAGAGCCTCGGCGGCGGCGGTGGCTTGTGTGGTGGTGTTGGTCGTCGTCGTCGTCATCGTCATGAATGGAGCTTTATTTACCGGGCGTGAGGCCTCGAGCCAATGTCTCAGGGTCCCTTCGGTGCCCATGCGCGCGGCCCAAACAAGGGCCTTGCTGTAATGGCTAGACTTGAAATCATAGCGGTAAACAAAGGGGCTTAGGGAGTAGCAATAGGTGGATGTTCGGGCGAGGGCGTTGATGTCGGCGTTGCTCTGGAGCTTTTCAGCTATACACAGAGAAGGAGCTCTTCAGGTAGTGAGGGGAGCATCATACCTATGGCTTGGAAGATGGGCTTACAAAAACACGACGCTGGGACCCTCTTAGAAGTGGAGATGAGGAAGGGGGGTAAGGGGGGCGGTGGAGCGAGGCCAAGTGAATCGTCGCTCGGCCCGCTCCGATCTTCCGGAGGAGCATCTAAAGGCGGTGAACCTTCTGCCGCGAGATTCTTGATAATTATTACGTAGTATAGCAAGGCCTCACTGCCACTTCTCGATTTTGGATATAGCCTTGTGCTGAGGTGATAGTTGGTTGTAAGCTCCCGCAAAGAACGGAAGAAAAAAGAGTGACGCAGAGCCAATCAGACCCCCAGCCACTTCCGCTGACAGGTTGCCAGCAAGCATGTCCCAGCCTATCAGCCTTTGTTTGACTGGTTAGTTGTGACTGCACTGGCCAGTACCTGGGGTGGTGGTGGTGGACTTGGCGGCAACCGTTGGCATCCGCCATGCCCTAAATTTGTCTTACTCTTTCCCGACTACTTCTTGAGCAGAGAAGCACTTTACAAGCCTCGGATGTCGCGATTGACACTCTTTTCTCTATTCTTAGGTAATCAAAGTAGGTCGTACTACCACTTAGCGGTGATGATGCCTTTTGGTAGACCGAGACTGGACGCGTGACGCGTATCTGCGTCTGTTCATAGCAAGAGCGATCAAAGTGCGTTAAGCTTTGTTATATCGATCAAGTATCCGAGTAGTCGTCGTCCGACACTACCAGCAAGCTGCTGGTAAACCTGCCCGGTCGCTCTTTGGACTCTTGTCCGACCACTTCCATTTCTATCGTTTCTACGAGTGCGAGGTAGGTACTATGGAAGCTTTGGGTGAGGTCAGTCTCTAAGAGCCCTATAGTATTGCTGCCTCGAGCTGTGTTGGTTTAACCCGGAGGACCGACAACTCATTCTGGATCTCTTGGCCAAGCTGTGTAGTTGGCGGCGGCGACTCCGCGAGGGAGCGAGGCAATGGAGACCACCAGCGCTAGGGGGGTTGATTCTGGCTAAAGACATCGATAAAGGTTGCGCGTGGCGCCTACGTTGGCCAGAGACCTCGACAAAGGTTGCACGTAGTGCATCGGCCCTCCTAGTCGCTGGTGGTGGGCTTGGTGATTCTTCTCTTGGTCCCATTTTTTATCGTTTCCTTTTTATTATTTTTTTATTTTTTTTTGCTTTTTCTGGTTGCTGTGCTTTCTTTGTGTGTTTGTCCTATCCACCTGCGTGCGTATTAGTTATCGAGTCATGTATATATTACCTGAGCAAGGTTCGGAACGACAATCAAGCCTTCGCCTCCCTCGACGTTCGAGTGGGATTGTTTTTGTCGGTTGCTGTAACAAATCTTGCATTATAAGTATGATATGAAAGCTCAGTTCAGTAGATCCCGACCCATCACCACTCCTGAATGCCGTCCCTGGTCAAGACCCTCCCCACATTCGCATCGCGCTCCCCCTCCACCACCGCCCGAATGAACGGGCCCGCCACCGTCGGATCCCCGGCACCCATCGCCCTCATCTGCGCGGGACTGCCCCCCAGCCCCGTGGCCAGATACCCCGGCGAGATGGCGAAGACCTTGACCCCATCCGGCTGCAGGATGCGATGCCACTCGCGCATCAGCATGTTGAGGCCGGTCTTGGCGCTGCGGTAGGCCGGCACGCCGCCCGCCCCGGGCCCGGAGGGGGGTTTCGGCCACCCGGTCGCGGTCGGGGCCCGGTTGACGGCGATCGCCAGGTTCTCGGTTCCGGCGAGCGTGGCGGTCCCCGAGGTGATGAAGAGTAGGCGGGGGTCGCGGCTTTGGAGCAGCAGCGGGATGAATGTCGAGGTCACGATCTGCGTACTGGTCGTGTTGACGCTCCAGGTTTTGTTCCAGAGGTCGCGTTCTGATGTCAGGTCACCACGCGTGGCTGGGGTTTCGAAGGATGCACCTGTTTTCAAGGGTGTGAGATTTTTTGATGTGGAATGATTTGGATGGAAAGAGGGGGAGGGGGGTTAAGGGACTCAGATTGTACTGTGTACTGTACTGTATTGTACATTTACCACGCACCTGCATTGTTGATTAGAACGTCTACCCGACCGTGGGCCGACGAGATCTCTTCGTAGGCCTGTTGGATGGATGCGTCGTCTTCGATGTCGATGATGGTCGCGGTGAGTGTACTCGAGGAGTTGGGAAATTCCGTCTGGATGGCTTGGATGGCGTCGTGGGCTTTGGTGGCCGAGCGGGCGCCGAGGAGGATGTGGTAGCTCTGGGGCGAGTCGCTGAGTGCGCGGACGATCTGGAAGCCGATGCCGGTGTTGGCGCCGGTGATGAAGACGACGGTGGATGTCATTGTTGTTTCCTTGGGGGATGAACAGGTTTTCAAGTCGAGATTCTGGAGTGATGTTGTGTGATGCAAGAGCTAGCATGCTTTTATATGGTCGGAAACCTTGCTCAGACAGAGACCCGGACTTGAGGCCGTAGACCGAAGCTCCAGGTAGCTTAAGTCCGTTGCTTCCCCAAGGTGCGGGTGCCCCACTCATACACATGCCCCGATCGCTCAGCGCTGCACCCATCGCAACCGATAAGAGAACCAACGGAGAGCAGAGGGCATTATTAGACGATGGTGTTGCGCAACGGCCACCAACCATGAAGCTCATAGACAGTATTCTGATAGGTGGGTCATCACTGCCCCTCACTAGTCTCATTCAACTGGATGCGGAGGGGAAGAGCAGGAAAGAGGGGAGGTTCATGCTCCGCCGTCACATGACACCACCAATGTGCCTGCTGGCAAAGCAAGCGGCATATCTATCAGAACTCTGGCCCCGTCGCAGCATTTCGCCTTCAACATACTTGGGCGGAGCGAGTCATGCAAATGACGCTTGCAAGTAATGGCAGAAAGCATAGAGCCAAGAAAGACCTGCACTACACATTCAGGCGGTGCCTAGTGACACAGGTCACTTAACAGCACTACTAATTAACGCTGTTGACGTTGTGCTTTTCTGGTATGGGTGATCTGCACCGGGTGAAATAGATAAGCTCAAGAGCCAGCGGTCCACCGCAGCCCAGGCCACCCGATGAAACATGTTCTGCCCACCTCTACACAAACTTCGAGACCAGACACTCAGCGGGTACGGGAGACCCGAGAAAGTCAATCGAGTAATCGTTGAAGTCAACACACGACCACAAACAAGTTCTATTGACCTACCGCTGACGTCAACGCAAAGCCAATTCCAATGCATATGAAGCCTGTCATAGCCTTTTCCCACATTTTTATTCCTATCTCCTTCAACTTCTCCTCATCAGCATCTCACCTGCCGTCTACACCGACACGAGCAAAAGTGTCAGAATGTCTCTCAGCTTGGTCACCCGAACCGTCCTGCGCAAACCCCCACGCGCGCTAATCCCCGTGCTCAACATCCAGTCCGCCCCCGTCAGTAGTGACATCGGACCCAAGCGGGCAGAGACGCCCGAATATGTAGTGACTCCCAGCAGGGGGACGTACGACACCACCAAAGTCCCCAGCTTCAAGGCTTACGAAACCCGCGGACCGCCCCGGGGCCATCAGAACATCGCGTATTTTATGGCGGGAGCGCTGGGTGTGACCACGGCTGTGGGAGCCAAGGATACGGTCGCGAGTTAGTTGAGCACTACCCGGTTCCAGATCATGTTTTGTAATAGAAGATATCTGACAACTATTCTATAACTGGTCAGGCTTTCTGGCCAACATGTCCGCATCCGCTGATGTCCTGGCGCAAGCAAAGGTCGAGATTGGCCTCGGTGCGATCCCCGAGGGGAAGAATGTCTGAGCATGGGCTTACCCCGGAGGATTCAAGTTCAGACGGATACTGAAGTGATACACTTTTAGATCATCATCAAGTGGCGTGGAAAGCCGGTCTTCATCCGGCATCGCACGCAGAATGAGGTCGAGGAGGCGCGCAAGACGGACTGGAAGTCTCTCCGCGATCCGCAGCCGGACGAGGACCGTGTGCTGAAGCCGGAGTGGTTGATTATGTTGGGTAGGTGTTTGCTCTCCTCTCACAGTATCAACGACAATTGAGACTGGTGGGAGCACTAGTGGTTCAGGCGCCAATTGCTGACTTGGTATAAGGTGTTTGCACCCATCTGGGTTGCGTGCCCATCGGCGAGTCCGGGGACTTTGGGGGCTGGTTTTGTCCGTGTCATGGCTCGCACTATGACATCTCCGGACGGGCGCGCAAGGGCCCCGCCCCGACTAATTTGGAGGTACCGCAGTACAGCTTTCCGACCGAGGACACGCTGGTGATCGGATAGAGGGGGATTTTAATAATATCTCGGCCCATTCGATTCGTGTGGGGGTTTCTGTGCAGCTACCACGACGTGGGGATGCATAGAACACGATACGTTTTCTATCTCAAAGACCGACATACCTGTTAGAGAAACAATAGAGGAAGGCAATGGGGACGGAAAAAATCACACAGAGAATGACAAGACGCTCAATCGCAAGACGTTTACTCAGATTGAGATTCAGAAAGAGCTACCTACCTATTCTTTGAGATCCTCCTTTTCGCGGACCAGGACAAAACGAATCAGCCCTCCTCGCCCTTGCCAAGGTTGCCTCTTGTCACGAGATGCATACGCCCAGCCACACCCCCCCGACAGCCCCAGCTCCCGTTGTTGTGGCAGGTACCCATACGCGACTTCGCGCGTCAGATACCGCGAGCTCTCCACGGATCCCCAGACTGGCCGCCCCGACGCCTCCTTCGCCGTATCCGGTTTCTCGGCGGCGTAATTGGCGCGCAGAAACACCGGGTGATGCTTGTTCTTCACGTAGACATGCGCCGTCATGTGCGAGCCCTTGGCCAGGTGGGTCGTGTTCTTGTAGCAGATCGTCATGTGCCAGGTGTTCCGGAGCTGTTTGGTGCGGCCCCTTTTTTGGTACCGCGTGAGGTGGATGGCGGATCTGGTGGGAGGGGCGAGAGAGAATTGGGTTAGCCTTTTGTGGGATCTGGATGCTGTGCCCCTGTAGCCTGGCTTGTGCTGGGATGGCTGGAAGCAATCTGGGGAGGTGGGGAGAGATTTGAATATGGATGGCCTTCCGCTCCGTACCTGATTAGGATGGCCTTAGGATATTGTCCCTCGGCACTGGCCGCCCGATAGGCGAGAGACATGATGGTCGGGAGGGTGGCGGTCCGAAAGCATGGGAGCAGATGCTTGGGGAAGTGGTATTTGACGATGTTGGTGGTCGGCGGCTGACGGGCGTGGGTGTACCGTATCATAGAGGCTGCTGAGCTTGGCATTTGTGATTGGTTGGAGGGTTCGCTCGGATGGGAGGAAATGAAGAGGTTGAGGAAATTCAGTCGAATTTGCGAAGGGTAGGGAGAGTGAGAGTGATGGCGCGTCTGTTGGAGAGCTTGCGACGATGACAAGGGAGGAGAAGAGAAGGTGGTCAGGGCGTGGTCGGATTATGTGCTTTGTTGACACCCCCCGGCCTCCTTTGTGTTACCCCGCATTTGGTGCATGGATGGGATCATGTCACTTTGTTGCAGGCACAACTGGGGTAGTGATTGGTCTAGCTGGTCGATGAGATGGTCTAGCCGCCGACTGGAACGATTATCTCAGAATGTGCAAGGTGTCTTAAGGAGTGTGGTTTTGTGAAATTATCTGTCAAACTTGCTGTTTTGAGGGGTTCTTGATCCTCAATCTTCGACTTTTTCCCCCGCTCTGTATTGACTTTAGTATTGGCCCACACACTACCAGTCTATGGTTGACCGGATCGATGGACGTGAGAAAGGTGAAAGATATTAAGAGGTTGTTTTCTCGGTTCTCTCCGCAAACAAATGTCCTCTGGTATCTCTCCTGACTTAGCAGCGATGATACAAAGACCACAACTACCATCACGAAGCAATTCGGCAATGAAGTGCTTTATATTACGCCAGGTAACTTTCCAGCGCTCCGATAAGCTTTGATATAGTTTCTATGACCAGAAGAAGCTCATCATCTGATCGAAGGGTCATAGGCATGACATCCTGGGTTTTTTGGCGCGATCAACCAACAGTAGCCAAGTGACCTCGCACAGGCACATTGTAAGTTTGCCCAGTCGCAGGAAACCCCGTCACGTTGACTCCCTCTTGAAACAGGAGACAGTGGGTTGACCCCCCATAGTGAAACATCCCCAACTCGTCCCCCTTGCGGACATAGTCGCCCTGCTTGACTGTAATGTCACATGTGGAAACCTCTGCCATGCCGACGCCGATGAACGCCACCGTTCCGAGAGCCGGGTGATCCGCCTCGATGAAGATCACCGCGCGGGTGGCCACCGAGGTGAGGTACGGCTGCGCGGCAATCAGGCTCAGTTCGTCGAGATAGTCATGGCTCTGCTCCTGCGCGGCGAGATCGATGATAAGGGGCTCGGAGAAGTAGGTCCCATTTAACGTGAAGGCTTTCGCGATGCGGCCTGAGACCGGCGCGTGCCAGCGATGGTAGCTCAGGGAGCTCAAGAAAGCTTGGTAGACCGTGCCCCCGATAAACTTCTCGGACAGCGGATCACCACCCAGCATGTCCACAATCGAATACGGCCGTTCCTTGATCCAGAACTGATCGTGAGCGCTCACGTTGTGCTGCACCTGATAGGGCTTCGACTCGCAGGCATTCGCGATCACGCTGTCGTTCCCCGCGACGGGACGGATGCCCTCGCGGAATGACCGGATGAAGAAATCGTCCCAGGACTGGAATCCGCGGTACGGGGCCGTGGCGTTGGCGATGAATATTTCGTCGAACGTATAATTCGTCCGGCCGATGTTCGCAACGTCAGTGAGATCAGTGAGTCCCGTCGGGCCGAACCAGTCGGTGGGAGCTCTGCCAAGGACATGAACCGAGTCCGGGGACTGCAGGTATGCGCCCCAGGTGTTTAGGATCTTCTTTATTATGGCATTGACTTCGGGGTCCAGGAAGGCTGCAAAGCCGCTTTGTGTCCCCATCGGCCAGTTGAGCAAACTGCTCAGGGGAATACCGGCATAGCTCATGCGATTTTTTCGGGTGCTGTAGGGTGGCGCCGTCTGGATAAGGTGGTCGAGTACGCGTAGCATGTGGCGGTAGTCTCGGATCTGGGGTCGTCCGCTGAGCTCGTAAATGTAACGAGGACTTCGAGGCACTTCCTGGAACATTAGTGCAAAGAGCATCCGCAGATGTGGTCGAGCCTCGATGAGGTCGCCGAATTCCCGCACCGTGGGGTGCAACTGCTGGGAGCTGTTCTCGGTGCGACGAGTCACGTCGACCAGCCATTCGCCGTAGTCATGTTGATCACGAAGAGACCAACGGCCAATCCTTGACTCTAGTCAGTACACCGGTCGGAGCACGCACAGAATCACGGAACAGGCTCACTCATCGTAGGAGCTCTCCCCGGTGGTATAGCCGCTGGCGAACAAGGCCAGGAGATGCAAGACGGGAACACAATAAAGGCGCATGGTCAATCTGTACTGGTCGGCAATGGTCGAGATTTCCTCAATTGTCTCGATTGGAGCTCTTTAGAGAGAGAATCAGCGAGGGTACTATACAGAGTGGTGCTTCATGTTAGAGACATCATCATGAAATGGCTCTTGACGTAACACGAGCGCTTCCTCGGCTTGCGGGGGTTAGGCGTTGCTTGACTAACTAGGGCATCGGAAGACATACAATTCGATACCTTTTTCGATGGCAAGCGTGAAGATATGGCTCCCTACACACTGGGCAGCAATCACCAAAGAAGTAATCCTGCCGATCATGCAGTGACGTCTCGTAGCTCCACCTTCTCGCCGTGGAGATTGTTGAAGGGCAATTAAGAATCCTCCCACCCCTGACACAGGAAGCTCTTCGAGATTCAAGTACAAGCAGAAGCAGAAAGACTCTATGACGAATAAGCTTGTGTCTCCGTCATAGTGAGAACCTTCCGTTCCCGGGTCGCTCGGCCGGAAAATGCCGGCTGCTGACGCCTATTTTAGATAAGATCTCAACCCGTGATGAGGGCGCACGCGACGACAAAGACCTCAGCCTGAAAGATGGGCCTCGTGCAACGTGGTATAGTTCTTTCCGTATGAATATAGTCGAGAAGCAATACCCTGTCAGAATTAATACTTCGATAAAACATCTTAGATCTGTTGTCGCGTTGTTCTGTCGAGGGCCTCAATCCCCTCTCTGATCTTCGTTATATAGGTAGATCATGACTAGCGAGGAATTTGAATATTGAACAAAGTCATTTCGCTCAGCCTTTTTCAGGTTTTATTCTTGGCCAGAGCCAAGTTTGCTCAAGTAGGGTATAAATTAAGTCAAGTAACTAGTCGAGTCCAGGTGTCAGCGTAATAACCCCGTGGGCCTTATATCCGAGATTCGGAGGGTATGTAATCCGGCTGCATAATCAAGCAGTGAGCCAATTGGACGGCAGCTCGGCTGTCAGCCCGTTAGCTCCAGAGTCTTTAAGTCCGAAATCCGAAGCGGATATGGCCTTCAAGGTTATCGTGCGCAGCACCCCAGCAAAGAATATACCGTCGACTGTTTTAAGTTGCCAATTCTGCGCCCAACCCACCCCAAAAAAAGCATGCAATCAGGGTGCGAAATATAAATTCAGAGTGCTGAGAATTCCACTACACCATCATTACCAACAGTTAGCCCTTGATACCAAGTCATCTAGAATGCATCTTATCCTTACAGGAGCAACCGGCCTGGTAGGCTCATCCGTGCTGGATGCTATGCTCAAGAATAAAGCCGTCTCCAAGATCTCAATTCTGAGCCGGAGACCTGTGCCCATGGCAGACGATTCTAGAGATCCGCGGGTCCGCGTGATTCTCCACAGAAACTTTGAGGTCTACGGACCAGAGCTGCTGGATCAGCTGCAAGATGCTGAGGGATGTGTCTGGGCTTTGGGAACGAGCTCAACCAATGTCAATGCCGAGTATGGCACCCCCCACCACACCTTTCCCCCCTTCGTTGGCGGGGATGAATTAGGAATGTTACTGCAAGGTGCTAATGTCAAGATAGCCAGTATGTCAAGATCACCAAGGACTATGCTCTTGCAGCCGCCGATGCATTTTCCACCCTCAAATCTTCTTCCTCCCAGCACCCTTTCCGATTTATCTACGTCTCGGGTGAAGGAGCCACACACAACCCCGGTCGCTTCTCTCCAATCTTTGCACGAGTCAAAGGCGAAACCGAACAGCTGCTGGGTAAGCTATCGGAGCAGATGCCCACCCGCCTCCGGGCCGACAGCATGAGACCGGGCTACGTCGACCCGGGCATGCACTTGGCGATTCAGCCGTACATTCCTGCGCAGGGAGTGAAGGGGTTCTTTCCGAGGATCGGAGTAGCCCTGAGCGTGCCTGTTTTCCGGTATGCGCTAACAGGGATGCACTCGCCGACTGAACGCCTGGGAACCTTCTTGACCGATATGGCGATGGGTAAGGTGGAAGGGCATCTTGAGGGACCAGGAGCGTTTAGAGTTGGAGGCGGATGGGTGGTCCAAAATAAGGGGATGAGGAGGATATTAGGATTGGATTCTTAATGAATAGTATAATTAATTGTGGTTATGTAACCTTTCCTTTCTCAGAGTTCGATTTCTTGAATCAAGCATGCAAGATTCTCAAGGTTCTATGAATTTGCTGCGACGAGAAGATATTCCTTGAACACAGTCTTATCAACGTTCATCGCATAATATTGAGCCCGAATAGTCGATGGTCTCAATGCAAGATTTGTATCTACAAATAATGGGGAGAATGATCAACGCAAACTGTCAACCACCACCTTCTGTCTTTCTGAAAACATACAAAATATAGGTAAGTGCTTGCGCCCGGTAGAAATTTTACGCAGTTATGGTCAAAAAAAGTCTGTGCCAAAAACATACAACAGAAGGGGTTCGCTGGTGGTCACCCACCCAACAACTAACCTCCCGGCGTGTGGCTTCAAACGCGGCCCAAAGTCGGGTCACTTGAAACTCGCTAACACCAGACTCGAGAAGTCTTTCCTTGCCTTACCATTGTTGGAGCCTGATAAACAATTACATCGCACCTGTGTCAGTGGAGGAGAAGCGTGCTCTGAGTGAATGGGCAAAATCGAATAGCTTATTCGGGTGCTTAAACAACAATTCTCGGATGTCGAAGACAATAAAGATACATGTCACATCATATTCCTAGGATTTTGCCGCCACAGCAACGGCCAGTCACAGTCTCACGTGCCCACAGCCTTCTGTTCTTCTGTTAAAGCATATTGCCATCTGATACCGCCTTCCTCTGAAAGTCAACGCAGGGATAGCCAGCTATTAGACAGAAATTCAGGGTTATTAACAATGTACTTGGTGAGTGGCCAACCTGGACTCCTGATTTGGTTGGAAGAGTCAATGATGCCACTTTATGATGATGGTTCTGGGGGGTGTTATAATAAAAGAAGACTCACAAAATTCATTAAAGCAGTACCTTTCGCAATGTCATTCCAAGCACCACGATATGCCTCATACCTCGTTGCCTACTATCTCGCCAGATATAGCACCCCTGACCTTATGTTGCCAGACCTATGCACATAATAATCCAGTTGCCCTTGCTATCAGTTAACTCATACATGTAGAATTGTAGGTAGTAGTAGCACGATTAATTGATTAAGTAACTTGTGCTTTGTGTTGATGCGACTCCCTTTGTTCTAATCTGGGATAGGACCAACCATGCTTGTGTCACCATCATCTGTTTGTCTTGGTACCTTCTGAAAGGCCCTCCAGACTCTTGTTCTTTCTTACTACTCGCAACCTCTTCGTTAATTATTCTACGACAGTAATCTTCTTTCCTACCAGTTACAACCTCTTCTTTAGCTGCTCTATCCACATAGATCCCCTCCATGCCATCCTTCAAGCATCAGCATCAACGACAAAAGCATCAGTCTTTTCATCCTCCTCCATTATTTTGGGATAAACTCTCTAAGCTCTGGCTAACCAAAAGCGCGTTAAGAGAAGTCAATCAACGAAATAAATCCCTATACTTATACCAGCGCTCCTCTTCTATATCCTATACCTTTGCTCCTGATTTCTGGCGCAACTGTTCCACTATTCTACTAAGAGAAGTCAAAAGATCTTCCCGCTGTGGAGGACCAAATCTGTCAGATATCAGAGATGTTAGTTGTTTACCTCCCCGATTATTCTTTTTCTGATATCATGTCAAAGCAGATGTATGCTAACTAGCCTTACTTCTAGTATCCAGCACCAGCCCACTTCTATCAATACTCTATGGATCCCACCATGTTCAACTCAAAACGCCATACCACAAAATATACTAGGCTAAAGACCAACGCTACAACTGCTTATGACCCACACTTTGAGCAACATCTAATCGACCATGTTGTCTTAACACCATTTTTCGAATACCCAGATGGTACTGAGCCATCCGAACCCAAGAACCTCAGGGAAATTCAACAAAGATTACAAGCCCCTCGTCCTTTACTCAATTCAGATATGCAATATAGGGAATTCGCCAAACTCAACGAGAAGGCTGGTAGTGAACAATTAGTTATTGCAAAGATCTTGCCTGTACTTGAGGGAAAGTGGGAAGATAGTTTCCCGACTGGGGGTGGACAGCTATTTAACAATCTTGCTCATTTGACCGACGGCACTCTAGTTCAGGCTAAGCCTGATCTTTACCATGGCGCGCGCCCGAACCAGCTAAAGCATAGCATTCGGAAAGACTTGAGTAACATGCTTATTCCAACGCGCCAGACCGGACGTCCAATAGCGCCGAATTTCTTTGTCGAGGCAAAGGGTCATGATGGAAGCTCCGCCGTGCTTAAACGCCAGGCCTGTTATGATGCTGCTCTGGGAGCACGAGCCATGCATGCCCTGCAGCAATATGAGCATGAAAGAAGCAGCAATAAGCCGAACTATTACAACAACAACGTCTGTACTATCGCAGCTACTTTCATGGATGGATTGCTAGGATTGTACGTGGCTCGCCCTACAAGATCTGCGAACAATCATAATCCAGATACCAATTATGTGATGACCCAGATTGGGCAATGGGCATTACATGGTGACCCAAATACTTATCAGCGGGGTATAACCGCCTATCGAAATGCCCGAGACCTGGCCAGAGAATTCAGGGACGACTTTATCAGGCAGGCAAACGAACAATATGCAGCTGGTCAAGATAATGCCAGTAGTTCTGATGGATCTGAGGAGACTATTAAGTTGTGAAGGCTTAGCACATGGTGATTGAGATGGTTTTATGGTTGTTGAGAACGACCTTTCTTTGGGTTATTATGCAGATGTGAGATACCAGGGCTTCAGCAAATCCATAGCAGCTTGTTGTGCCGTAGCTTCACTAGCATTGCCCACTAAGTATGCAAGTAAGTAGTCGGCGGCCATGTCAACTGGGACACAAAAGGAAAGGTGATGGCTATGGGGACAGGTCGATGCAATCGTAGCCGATGTTCGCAGCTCGATTGAATAAATTGACAGAGGACTAATACTTCCCTGACAAATGGGAACAGAAGAATAGTTCAGCTATCGCAACTTTGCAGCCCCGTATTATGGGCATTGCCTCTTCCCTTGTGTATGCTGCACAAAAGCACGAGGCTTCAAGATTACAGTCGATGATCCGGACGAGCATCCAATGTTGCTAGAATTCGCCATGTCAGGCAGGAGTTGGAACAAACGCGATTACCGATATCACCTCTCATATATGGGGCCTTGGAAGATAGCGTCTAGAATTGGGCCAAGGGCTCTCTAGCTAGCGGTGCGAGTGAATTGTTATTGCTTAGCTTTCGGTGCTTTGTGTACTGGATCTAGAGAAGATGGCGACGCAAAATAGATCGATTGCTTGTTCTTTTATGACGCAATGAATGTTGCTTCCAAGATCATCTTTGCCGATTTCGAGGGGGTCGAGGCATCGAGATCTCTCACAGCAGCCGCAATCACGACCACAACATCCTCCCATGGCGGCACAATGATTTCGCTGCCATTCAGAGAGGTGCCAGCCTGGTTGCCCATTGTTTAGTCTGTAGGCTTGTTTCAAGGGCTCTTGGTGGATCTGAGAGAGAAGAAAGACTTTCTGCCGCTCTTCATACCAGACCTTCTTTTCATGCTCGTCTGCACACCGTTCTTCTGTGGCGGGCTTCGGAGACATAGCTTCGGCGGAAGAAGCATTACTAGGGCTTGGCTCGGCTTGCAATGCGGCGTGAGGTATTCGATGATCCGTCCTAATAAGATCCTCTGTCATCTCGTTATCCCGGGGGTCGCGGTTCCACTCATAGTGTTTGCGGCGGAGTCGCTGTGCATGTTTCCATTTACCCTTCCGCTCGAACCTGTCCTCGACCATCAGCAGAGGTCGTTCTGCCGCTTCAGAAACAAGTAATTTGGCGACTGTTGCCAAAAAATGAAGGACCATCGTGTCTTTGAAATGTACCAAGATAGTTGCGAAAGCCGTGTTGGAGAAGAAGAGGAATTGTTGGCATGTTTCTCTCGTTTGTGGGATGCAGTCGTGTCAATATAACTTCCGTGGTTACCACATGAATGCATCATTTGACAGGTGCGGTGCGGCCCTTACGTATCAATACCGCCATCCAGACGCTTCAGTCGTCAGAAAAGCAGTGGTCTCTCTCATTGTTACCACCTCCAATTCTAGCATAGGGGAGCAACAGCCGGGTGTGTGGTCAGCTCCCAGCGGCTGTTGTTTGTAAGTCACCCGTAATCCCGGGCAATTTCTACTTCCTACTACATTGCCCCAATTGACGATAGACTGTGCAAAGACTGTGGCATTCAAATTGGGGCAGCTCATAAACGTGGGCGTTGGTTTCCGCAACAGCGCTCGTTGCTTTTGGTTCTATTGTTCCCCAGAAATCAGCTTCACGAAATTCTGACTGAATCTATAGGAAGGGATAACTGTTAGCAATGAACCAAGATTTTGCCAGAATGAGTTTCGCGATGAATACTACGTAGATAATACAGATCATGAGGGAATATAACACCAACCTTTCGGAAGACGTCAAACAGGTTGAGGAACTCTTTGGTGTGTTTTGAAAGGTGGAAGAGGTTGATGGCTTTCCTTCTGAGCTTTGTGGAAACCTATATATCGAGTCGATCGATGGATATTCAGTACAGAAGTGGTGGGATTGGGATCAGTGAGAACCTCGGTGAAGGTCAGCAAACGAGTCAGCTCATTCTTTTATGTGACACGGGCATTTCCCATAACTGTAGCATTTATTCCCCTCTGGAGTAAAAGGTGAAATCACAGAGGTAGGAAGACAATCAAAATAGTACTATTGAGCGCATTGCCTTAACAACACAACAGAGCTTGCTGCAGATGTTAATGACTCTCGGGACCAAACAGTCTAAGACCAAGCGGAACAGATGCAAAAAAGAATTGACCTACGCAGGGCTCGAACCTGCAATCTCTTGATTCGTAGTCAAGCGCCTTACCATTGGGCCAGCAGGCCAGCTGTTGAAAAACTGGAAATTTATGCTCAATATGATTTTAAAAAAAATGGTTCATGAAGGAGTTGCTGCCTTTGCTCCTACATCGTTTGAATGCTCGCAGAAGATGCATATGAAAACGAAATACAAAAGAATATGTGGAGATGTCAATTGCTATACACTGAACCTAGGTCAGTCTGTCGAGTGGCAAAGTCTGAATTGACTCGCGTTGCTTTTTTGTAGGGGTCCTCTTCTCGAGACTATATATCCTATTGCTGCACCCAAGACCCTACGTGCATTCCCAATAGTTGCCAAACCTTGTCAAGGGCAAGGTACATTTCAGATCGAACACCCAAAACCCAAAATTTCGAGCTTTATCCGCACAGTCTTGCTCTCTCGATATTCTGATCATATTCATCAAGCTTTAGTGGCTGCCAGGCGCGACAGAAGATGATCTGGCCTTTTCTCTTTCTTCAAAGAGATAACAAAGAGCCCGCTCCGGGCGCTCGGGTCGCGCTTCCTGAATAAACCCAATACTCACCCTTATTGTCAGCATCGAAAATCGAAGAGTGCGATCAGAGTAAATTAGGAAAAATGTTCAAGCGTGGGAAATGGTGGCATGGTGCTCTAATTACACCTCACGAGACAGGTCAAGGTCGATCCTCCGAATCATTCTTTCTGTCAAATTCACGACCAGCCAGTACTTCGTTCAAAACCGTCGCTAGACTCCTTCCCACGGAATAGCTATGAATGCCGGATTGTTCCCATTCGCAGGACTTCCACTGCCTCGAATCTCCCCCAAACCGAAGGCAATCACCCGGGACGATCGATTCGAAGGGATTGTTGTTGGGGTAAGCCGCCGACCAGCCCTATCTTTCTTCCTAACATGCATCAGATATTCCAACTGACCATTCATCCAGGCCGGACCAGCGGGCCTAATGCTGACTTTCTTACTTGCGCGGTATGGCCTCACAGCCGATTCCGTGCTGTGCATCGACGCAAAGCAACCCGCGTGCAGAATGGTCATGCGGACGGGCTCCAGCCCCGGACGCTGGAGGTACTTCGGTCACTTGGCCTGGCGGGTCCAATGCTTGACGATGGCCGCCATCTATCGGAATTTGCAATCTGGGAGCCGTCTGCGGTAGACGGCACCATCCAGCGGTCGTCTCTCGCGCGGACGACGACGCCATCATCGCGCTACCCCCACGTAGTTACCATTCACCAGGGTAGGGTGGAGCAGATCCTTGAGGCAGGGCTGCTTCAGTACTCTGCGACCGGCATACAGCGTCGAAGCAGGCTCGTGGACGTGCATATCGACCCCGCCGGTGATTCCGAGTTTCCGGTGGTAGCCAAGGTGGATTGCGACGGCGTCGTAAGGACCATTCGGACTAGGTATCTGGTGGGAGCGGACGGTGCGCATTCCGCAGTGCGGCGAGCCGCGGGTCTGGAGCTGGAAGGTAATGGTCCGGACGAGGTCTGGGGCGCATTGGACCTTGTGGTGAACACGGATTTCCCGGATATCCGGAGACGCAGCTTGATCCGATCCAGGCACGGTACAGTGTTTGTGATTCCGAGGGAGCGGAATGCAAGTGGGGAGTATTTGACTCGTCTGTATGTGCGCATGCCTTGCGAGTCGTGCGGATTCGATTATACAAGTGAATGCGAACTGTCATTGCGAGGCCGCACGAACTCGAACGCCATCCTTGAACAGGCCCGTCGTGTTTTCGGCCCCTTTTACCTGGACATAAAAGGGGAGATCGAATGGTGGTCTTGCTATCAGACTAGACAGCGCATCCTAAAGCAGTATATTGTGTCAGACGCCGATAATATCGGGAGGATCTTTCTCGTGGGAGACGGTATGTAGCTTTCTTCCCTGTGCCTTATTAGGTACTGACCATATGCAGCTTGTCATACCCACAGCCCAATGGTACGTTCTGTTAGACCGAGCATTCGACTCTGAACCGTCATAGCTAACCTGCCGTTTAATCCTATGATCTACAGGCCGGCCAAGGAATGAATGTATCCATGATGGATGCCTACAACCTGGGATGGAAACTTGCCTATTCCATCATGGGACTGACTTCAGTCCCCCTTGACTCATTCCAGAGCAATGCGATACTAAAGACTTATCATTCCGAGAGGTTCCCCGTCGCTCAGCAGTTGATTGAATTTGATAGGGAGTACGCAGCCAAATTTGCCGCTGCGAAGAATATGTCCTTGTGCGAAGATAGATCAACTGCTAGAGTAAATGACATCATGGGCTGTCGTCGCAGGGTGAACGGGTTCTCCAGCGGATGCGGCATTCAATACGCAGAAAGCATCCTCACGAGAAAAACTGGGCAGACGGCCTCCTTGTCGAGGCCTAGTCTGATGGCCCTCGCGACCGGGACTAGACTCCCGGATGTCCGACTAAAAAGATACGCTGATGGAGAATATTGTGACCTACACGATGGTATGTACCTTGGCACCCATCCTAGTCATGAAAGTGGCCATTCGCCCTGCTAAGACGGTCTCAGAGATGTTTTCCAATGGCCGCTTTCGGGTCCTGTGTCTAGCTTCATCAGACTTTCTGAGCTCTGATGGCGTATCTGCGCGAGCCCTACACTGGATTGGCGAGGCGCTGCTTCCTCAATTTCCCAACGATGTGATTGAACAATTCGTTATATACCCGCCCAATCGGTGTCCACGGAATTGGAGTGATCTTCCAACGTCGCTTAAATGCCACTCGGAAATGAGGCTGTATGACGGCTTGGCTGTGCAGGGTGCATATGAGCTTTTTGAAGTAGATGTTCATCAGGGCGCATTGATCATCCTACGGCCAGATGGTTATATCGGCATGATTGCGTCTCTTGAAAGGCATGGTCTGCTGCAAGACTATTTTACATCTTGTCTGAGACGTAGATGTGAGCAAGGATGTTGATTGCTATTTTTGCAATATTTATTCCTTATTTAGTGGTCAGCTATACTGCACACGTTAGGACTATTATGGTATCTTTCATTATATCCCCTAATTCGTTCCAGGCAAGTTTTCTACAGTCAATACACGCGCGTCCGCGCCATCAAATTATAGAACAGAACAAAAATTTATTTGAAGTCAAGCAGTTCTATATCCGCTTAGCGAGAACGACTCTGAGTCTAATTGTGACCAGAACCATCCCCCCTCCACGTACTCAGACAAACCCACACTTAAGATCAACACCCACACCTTATTTCGTCCAGTGCCACACCATGCCGGTACCCACCGGCCTGATCGTCACCTCCGACGTCCTCCACCAAGGCATCACCACCTTGTGTACGTAGTCGTCAATGTGTTTTCGATCCCTCTCCAGGTGAAACGTGACTCGGGCCTCATCGGTCTCAGAATTATATTTTTCAAATCGATGAAGTCCGTCGTCTCCGTATCGACGCTTCTCCTCTAGGGTAAATTCTCGGTAGATGCGTATCCAGGAACCGCTTCGGATGAAACCGAACTGGATCATCAGCTGGGGGCTTTTGGCGCGGGATTTGAGCATATGGCTCAGAAGCAAGTCTTCGGAGTCGGACCAACCATATTCGTTTACGTCCTGCAGGGGGGCCAGCAACTCGAGGATGTGATGGTCAGACAAGTTAACTCTGTGGGGAGGTGAGTCTCGCCTTCTTCTTAGTCAACTGTTTTGAGTAGCGAAACAGCCTGTTGGGAAGTCGGGTGGTGATGGACCAGTTGTGGGGATTCAAGGTTGCCTTTGATATTTCTATGGTTTACCAAGTGTCGCTTATTACTCAGTTTGGATAGATAAAAGCTGCATTGTCTCTCAAGAAAAGGCGTGTTCTCGGTCCAACATGTTCGCCTGGAGCCAAATTCTATCTTGCAAGAGAAAAGCTGTTGTGGTCTTCTCTGTCGTTACCTCGGGCTTAGTTTGGAGTACAAAGAAGACAATTGTTTCTGACCCACAACCATCTTCACAATGGTCTCTTCTTTGTGGCTAACAAAAACCA